CCACTCTTGATTTTCTGTTTTAGTAGCTTTCTCGACAAAGCTTCCAAAATTGAACCTTTTATATTAGCCACTTGTCTGTCCGTTCGCATGTTACAACACGAAAATCGCTGAGTGGATTCACATAACATTTCATATTATCTAGTGTTATTAACACGTGTCTACATATTCAATTTTTATTACAATCTTTGCAACAACAACGGACATTTTGTATGAAGACGTAACTTATGCAATTTTCTGCTAGCATATCGATTGCAACTAGTTAATATTTTTATCGGAACGAAAATACGAGTATATTTCGAAGAGTTAGAGGAGAAAATGAAACATTTAATGCCTAACCTACTTTATCGTATGCCTCATGGTTTTCCTAATAATTAAAAGTGATTTTTATGCTACGTGGTTTCGTAACTGGAGAATCGTTGTACTAATTTTGATAATATTTTGTATTGTAGGTCCTGATGTCGCTACCACCGCAACTTTTACACTGTTTTTAACAAAGCTTGGTTCGTTTTGACGAATTGGAAATGTAGAGGGTTATTGCAAATGATTCGGAATTATTCAGTTGTACATGAATTTCATACCTTTTTATGTTAATTTACTTGTGTGGCTTATTAGGTTTTATTTAATATATTTTCGTGTCTGCTATCTTTGTTAATTCAGCACGTTACCATAATAACACAAGTTTTAAGTTGGTGGCTAAATACATTTCATACGTCATTACATAACCTATAAGCGTAAAATAAAAATTGTGGTGAATTCAAATTGTAAATATAATTTTGGAGTCAGACATTTTGTGAACGCAGTGAAAAGCTTTGCAAAATTTGCAGCATCCGTTTCATAACCTGTTGGAAGTGTGCCGCTAAAATTTCCATACGCAATCCGAAATGTGAATCTACAATGTCGGGAACAGACTGTCGTATCATGTAGAGCACAGCAAGTGTCGGGTGGGCTCTCTGGTGTCCGGTTCTGAAAGCAGAATGATGCAGGCTTTCCAACTCTCTTGTTGAAGGACTCTCACTGCATGATATTCGATCGCATGTTTGTTACCCTAGAAGTTATCGTTTCTCAAAGGAACGCAGCAATTTCAATAACGTTCTGAATACCTGAAGATACCCGAAACTGGTAACTGGAAAACCGTATTGGAAATTGTGATGGTACTTTGAAACAGGTCATGATTGCTTGCTATTGCAGTCTTAATAATTCATCATCATCCTCCCGTTTGGTAGAACATTATACCTCATGCAATTGAGAAGGAATAATTAAATAAACTACGAAACGTAATTTACAAACTTCTCCGACCAAGGTTGACCTTGTAATGGGATGCCAGAATTTTGCTGAGACATCTCTGGCCCTTCTCACATCGAATGGCACTGGTCTTTTGGTTTTCTGTGACGTATATTATATCTTGGTTATGTACCATTGTTTTTGAGGAATGTCAGGCCTGAAGGTGGAGGAAGAATGTTCCTTCGAAATGTTGGTATACATTCACTAATGGACTACGTATCATAACAACCCAGACCACCACCACCAAAAAGAATAATCCTGTTATGTTGTGAATACGTAATGGATTAAAGCCAAGGCTGATGCATCATGAGAATGATTATAATTCATAAAATGACTCATTTCTTGCTTTACTGAATGTTGGTTTTTCATTGCACTGTGAACAATTGTCACAAGTGACATAAATTTTTGTGTACTCATGACTATGCTGTAATATTTTGTTTGTAAGGTCAAGATATTTGCAGAGTGAATAATACTGTCTAATATGAGGTTAGGAAGTGTATTATAAGTGAAATTATTTTTTGAGTGAAATGAAGCTGTGTTCTGGACCCTTTGAAGTTGTGTGCCCAAAAGCAGTATATTGGATTCCTTTTTGTGGCCCCTGGGTTCTGGGATCAGAACATACCTCATTTTGTACACTTCGGGTCTGACCTTTGCTTATTTTCCAATCTGAAGCATGTTGATTTCGTGTTGAGTATTCTTCCTGCTTGGATATGTGTTTGCATCAAAATTGAATTTTTTTTTGTAGTCTGGATGGCATAGTAGATTATTAATGCTTTTTCATTTAATCTGGCAGCCATTATCTGTTCTGAATGAATAGGAGAAATAATGAACTACGAATAAGCATTTTTTGTGACTGTGAATGTGCATTTTTATACTGTTTATAATGAGAAACAAACCAGGAACTGAATTAAATGTAAGTTTTATTCTGTAATGATAGCTGCTTGTATGTTCTTTTCTGAATGTCTTTGGTGACTTGTTACAGACTGAGATTTCTTGATCTGTCTTCTGATCAAGAATATCTCTGTCTGCTGGACCCAGTTGAGTAGGTGTGTCTCCCGTTATTTGGTGGCAGATCCATCTTTCGAAATGTTTTTGGTTTTTGAAAGCAATAAAAAATTTAAATACCTTATAAATGTTGGAAATTAAGGAAGTAATAATTGTTTGTTCTGTTTGATTGTATGAACTGGGGTTAGATCATTCAGATTATGTCTGAATTTGGGGTGAATGACTGGTGTTTGATTCCTGTTAAGGACAAAGGGTTTTTCTTTTAGACCCTTTGTCTAGACTCTCTAGAGACCACAGCCTCCCATGCAGTGGCTACCAGAGTTCATTTACCATGGGGTAAAGCACAGTTGGGGTGTGTATCTGACCACCATGATCTAACGCTGAAATTCTGAAATTAAGAATGAATACGTATTATACATCCTCTTCCACCAAGTACCTCCATGGAATCTAGCAGGACTTCACTGTGTCTTTTGTTGTGTGTTCTTCATAAGGTGTTTGTTTGTTTGTTGTCGTTGCTGTGTAGTGTGTGGCCCTGAAGAGTTTGCGTGTAGTGATGGCACCTGCATTGATATTAGGAGGAAGTGTGATAAACACGCTGACTGTTACGACTTCAGCGATGAGTTAGACTGCAGTGATGTTGGTGAGACTTGCACGTATTTAAAAATGTGTTTTAAAATACGTAGAATATAATATTGTTCATTAGTTAACCCGTGAGGTAAATTGCTTAGTATTGTTTTGAAGTTATATGGCTGGATTTCAGCGTGTAACTTCAAATTTTAGGCACAAAGTTTCTGCAAATGTTTACCTTGAAGATGGCAGCTGCAGTGTTTGCTGAAATGTTGTTAAACTATCAACGTTTCTCACGGTCTGTTTGCAATAGCTGAAGTCGCACGTTTCTCAATACTGCTGGATTATGAACTTCCATTATCCAAATATAATATTAACAACTTATGACTTGTAGGACAGGATGTCTGCAGGAAAATAATCTTTATCTGTCGGCAGCTTCATGTTAAACATAAAACATAATCATTCGCACCACTTTGCTGAAATAAGGGAAGTATCTTCAAGGGTGGAAGGTGAATGAAGAAATTTTGATTGAAATTTTAGACAAAATATAGAAACACATTAAAACTAATGTGTATTTCTATTATATAAGATTTAATTTTTATATCGAATTCCTGTACTAGGTTTATGTCACCTAACTGGAACACTGTAATCCAAGAGAGATTGTGTACAAATTTGGCATGTGTATGAATTCTGGGCAAGAAGTCTTATTGTTTTTGTCATGAGTTGATTTAAGAACGAAATTACGGGACAATGTACATTATATTTTGCAGTGAACTTGCGTGGACATGTTGCCACATTTAGACTTTCTTATAGCAAATGCCATCATTGCATTTCATTATAATCAGTGTTTTAAGTAAGAGCATTTGTTGCATATCAGTTATGTGTCTGATAGTACAGAACGTTATGTGTTCGTTGTATTTTGCAAGATGATCAGTAATGTTGCAACTGAAACTTATTTAGTAATCCAAAGTGCATTTGGAGATGCAGTGTTGTGGGACTAGTATCCTTCAAAGTTGATGACCATCCTGGTTACCCTTCAAGTGTAAAACCAATGAATTTGTAGCTGAATTCCATGATTTAATGTGTTGGGATGTAGCTGGTTTATGTTTTAGGTTAGATAACCTAACCTAAATTTCTTTGGTTAGGTTTCCTCCACACTGCATACTGCACGACCTTGTCTTCAAGTTTACATGGCAGTATTTTCACCATTATAGTTATAATTATAATACTGCCATGAGTCAGTTTGGTGGTTGTCATTTGAAAAATGCATGATGTAAATATGATATTTATATATGAGTGTTAACAGTCGCTTACTGTATAATTCTTTTGGAGAAAGTGACGCTGATTGTTGATTACTTCAGTTGTTTTTGGTCAGATGTGAAAGGCTTTCATTATTTTCCTTTGGTCTCAGTCGTGTTACGCAAAAAATGACTAAATATAAATGCTTTTTATTTAGAAATTTGAAAGTGTAATAAACTTTTATAGTTGCTCACAAACAGCTGTTGGTACCACAAATCTTAGTGAATACTGAATATTCTGTAATAAACAATAAATATTGTATGCAATCTTATTGATTTGCAAACTATCAAGTTAAATTTTATGAAAAATAAAGAACTTTATTTTGGTATGCAGAATAGATATAAATAATACATTAATATATTTTGAGTGTAGAATTACATTTATGGTTTATGAGTATGGTTTAGCACTGAATTAAATTTAGATTGTTAAGTAAAGTAATATGTAGTTTTCCTATTGGCACTGTATTTTTCGCTCATTTATTGGTACTGTGTGACCTACAGAGGTTATAATTTTGAATGGAAAGTGATTTATCCAGGAAAGTATGGGAAGAAGATATGGCTTATTTTTTAATGTTAGACATTTTTCTGTGGGACTGAAGGAAACCCCAACAAATTTGCGATGACCGCCAGGCTCCAGGCTGAAATTTGTGCTCCACACCACTCAGGAGACGTTACTACTCCCTAAACCATGGTGTTTGATTATTTTTTTTGTAATACTGAAGTTATTTTATTAACATCATATAAAATTGAATTATTTATGTTTTAACATCTCAGAACAATACTTTGTATCTTTTTGTAACTTACATATTATGGGGCAGTGACTGACCATTAAATTTCTGTTCTGTGCAGTTTGCCAACCTGATGAATGGCAGTGTGATTATGGGACCTGTATTGACCGAAGGCTAAGGTGTAATGGACGCCAAGACTGCCCCAGAGATGATTCTGATGAACGGAATTGCCGTGAGTACTACAAGAGCATGAATTCTTTTTCTCTTACAATAAGTAACTTTAATTTCAGTTTTCTGGAAGAAGTTTTACTCATCTGACAAATTTTTCCTAAAGTGAATGTTATTTATAATTCTTGTCACAGTTTGAATACTGTTATTCTTAATATGTGGAGTGTATTTTTGTTTTTGAATGAAACTGCGAGTTGGTTACATTGCATTTTGATCTGCATGCTGTTATTTCAGTTTTGGTTTTATATGCACATGGTTATTTATATTACTTTATTTGAACTTCATGTGACTGCCTTTTAATTGTATGGGGAGTATGCACATCACATTATATAGTCAAAGTTGCTTGCCTTAAATGATCATGTTAGAGAGTTTATGAACACTAGCAGAGTGTCCACAGTGATACTGCTAGGAAATGACATGCTTACATTTCATATCAGTATTTCTTGCCTGAAAGCTTATCATGATTGTTCAATATTATATTGTTGACTATCATAGGAAAAAGTTACCCTAAGCCCAAAAAAATTGTTTAGTGTCATTTAGAGTTGATTAATTAGTTTCAGAGGTATTTTTCAAAATTTTCCATCGTTTCTGTAAATAAATTAAAACATATTTCATAGCAAATTCTTTGAAATTTACATAGTTTCATGCATTCGTGGCTTTACTGTTCATGGTGGTTTTCAATAATTTGCATGACAAATTTTGCTGTTAGTTATATGAATCTAGGGGTCCGCAGTGGCCTCACGATCTGAGGCGTGGGCCTTCTGCTGCTCGGTCGCAGGGACCATGGGTTTGAATCGCACTCAAGCCATGGATGTTTGTCTGAGTCTTTCTGTGTTGTGCTGTCCTGTGTACAGGTAGAGGCCTTGCGACGGGCCGATCCCTCGTCCAAGGAGTCCTACCGACTGTCTATAGATCAAGCCAACGAAAAAGTTGGGACCCGCAGTGCTCAGGCACTTGAAGAACAGGTCGTTCCCAGTATCCCAGTATCAGTATATGAATCTAGGCAAGGTGGGCAGGTTTAATCAAGAGCCCATTTGAAATCTTAATTATGACAATTTTGGTATTTAGTAACTTATATTACATTTTTTTATTTTGTTTATAGAATTTAAGCAACTTGCATGTGGTGTGCTTGTAACATAGTCCCCATTTCAATTGAGGTATTGTTTGCTAAAGCAGTAAGTGATGTTGTGACTAATGCGTTTGCGAGTCGTTCAGCGAATGTGACTCATTGAACATTTACAGTTAGTATTGCTGGAAACTGTTCACAATGGCAGTTTACATGTGCGGACGGAACTTGCATTGATGGCAGACTCCGCTGTGACGAATATGTCAATTGTCCCAACGATGATTCTGATGAAAAATTTTGTCGTAAGTTATACAAATTCAAATTTTGTGTACAGGCATAGTCTGTGTTATTACTCGTGTAGACATACTAAAAGGCCATTTCAGATTTTCAGTAAAATAACAGTATTATTTATAGTGAACCAGTAATATCTGATATTTATCTATTTGGATATTATTATTAATTTCTTCAGATTCTTTTTTTTTTTTTTGCTGTGATGGTAGCTTGGCAACAATTTTAATCTGTAGTGCCTTTTAATATATTATGTCATTGTTGGTGTTGGTCTTCTTTGTAGTAATTCTGTGTGGAAATGTAGGTGGATACAAATATTTCTTCTGAAGATGGACATCAGATCTCCACTGTGAGAGTATCATGGGCTCATATAATGACACTCTTTATAGTTCCATAAAAGTTCATATTTTAATTTAGTTTTGGAGTGTTGTCTTGTTGGTAATGCTGTGTCTTGAAATTTATTATATTACTCTCAGATTGAATTTGCATATAGAACATTTTTATGGAACTTCCTTCTAAAGTGCTGTTGAACATTGGCAACAGATTCTGTAAAATTGAAGTTTAGCATGTAGAAACACTTTCTAGGCTTAAGTCACCATTTTACTGCCACATCAACACTTCTGCTCCTAGCGACTGTTGTTGGGTTATATCACTTCTCCTGATGGGTCGGGCAGAGGGACATCGGCGTCAGGATCATAGGAGGGGAAGAATTCAGCTAGAGTTTGGGGGTGAAGGGCCGTTGCTGACCCCTATTCGAGACCACCATCTTGTCACTATGTAGGCCACTATATGTACTGGCAGGTACACTGTCGGATCTCCAACTGACGCTGAAGAAAAGTCTGTAGTTAGATTTTGTGGCAAAATTAGTTATTTCAAAGTGGGTTCCTAACAGTAGATGGATTTATTTAACACTTCTAAGTACAGGTTGATTATTTGTTGGATTAATACATTGATGCTTCACAGATCACAGTCCCGATTATTCGTATCATTGTTCTCTTTCACACTGTTGCTCTGCTCTTCATCGAGTTCAGTTCTTGTTTGCTTTCACACTTGGGGCGTCTGTTTGCCTGAGATTATATTTATAGTCTTGAAACCTTGCATACCGCACAGTCCTGATATATGAAATCATGCATTCAAACTCTTGAAGGGTAAACAGTTTTGATTGAATGTATGATTTTATATATTATATTTATAGTACTTATAACTCCACAATATGCCTATAAATGTTGAGTATTGAATGCAATTCCAAGTGTTTCTAGCGGGACGCCAAAAAATGGTGCTGTTTCTCACTTTGTAGATTAGGCAATGAGCTTCCAGCGGCTGCTGGAGGAATCAGACCATAATTCTTTGATGATATTTGAATAAAATGTTTCATAATCAAAATATTTGTGATGTTTGATATTACTGGTTGCACGTTGAAATAAAATAGTGACATTTAAAGCTTAAGGGATATTTATTTACAAATCCGGTTGAGAATTTTGTAATAGATGTGGTACTTTTATGATGGTGATGTTGAGAGTAAGATAAACTGAAATGGCTCTCTCTGTAGTTATTCATGTCTGTCAAATTAATTCTCATGTGTTTTGTCATTTGTCATAAAATTTCATTCTGTAATGTTACAATTTCCACTGATGTATAGAGTAGCTACTAATTGCGTAAGTAGACATTATTTGAAGTTTTTAATGTAAATGAAGATAGAGGCTTTAATTTTAAATGGCGTGAATAGTCTTGTGCGCTGTTCACGAAGCTATTTTTTTTAAAGAGGTGCAGAATTGAGGTGCTAGTAATATGGAGGTTGAATGTGGATGGTCAGAAGAACAAATTCCATTTTAAATAATATGACCTCATTTTGATTAATCTCTGTATTTATAATAATTTTTTTGTAATAACAAATAAAGTTTGTATATGTATAAAAGACATATTTCCAATATTGCTTTCTGGGGACCATTATGTTTGGTATTCAGTAATGTTGTTTGTTATAAATTTGCATTCATATTGAGAAATGTAACTTAAACTGCTGTCCATGTTTTTTAAAGTCAGAGTATAATTTGAAGTGGTTGAAATTGTTCTGTGTAGCTAATACAAAAAGAGAGATCTTTCAGACTATTTTTAGCGATGATAAATGATGTGATATTAAAATTCATGTTCTTTTGTTAGCTGGTTCTCTTGTGTCTAAAAATTCATACAATTGAACATGGTTTGAAGCAAAAGGCTTAGAGTAAGTAAGTATTTATGTTTTTGAAATAAAAGCAGTGTTTAAATGTTATGAATTTTTTCCATACACTTATATTACTTATACTGAGATGCTATAATGTGTGTTTGCAGTTCTTAATTTCCAAATGATAGTTTCCTTAATTAGTAATAGTAGCTACACTGTACACAGTTTGTAACCAGTCGGTAATTAGATTGTCCCAGCTAATCTGCCCACTCATTGTGTTGTTCCGTCCTGTTGCTTATGTGTAAGTTTTTCTGCATCTTGTGTGTGTGTTTATGTGTTTGTTAACTTTTTGCTTGGCCCATATTATTTGTATTATATATTGCATAGAATAATTTTTTTTAGGTGACAGGTCATTTAATAATTTTTACCTGTTAGGCAGTTCTCATAATTTCTATTCTGTTAATTTAATCTTTATTGATCGTGCGTCACAGCTCGTGTGCAATCCAGCTGGCTGTGCATTGCGGTAGTGTACCACTGAACTCTTAATTCTAGAGTTCAAGACTGACTAAGCCCTGTAGGTGAGGGATTTTACCTTGTGATTTTGTATGAGCACAACATTCATGATGATAGGTCTGATTTTAATGTGCTCTGTGAAGGAAGAGTGTGAAATTAATTTGTGTAGAGGCCATGCCTGCTTACCTGTTGGTCATACATTTCACATGCTTCATCTGGAAAATTCAGATTTCATAGGCATTTGATACTGGGGTTTTACTCTAAATGTTGGAAAGCAAACTTCCTTTATTTAAAAATTCTGAAAGAATCAAAACAAAAAAATAAACAACTCAATGAGATATGTAATTTCAATTTTGAAGAGTTTTGATATTTTATATATTTTAAAAAATTAGGTAAAATTATTTATGCCCCTATGTATTAAGTATATACATACTTGATTTTTGTGTGATATAACTGAACTTCTACAGTTACTTCTTTAATCACACAATCACAGTATGTATAGTTCTTTTAAGTCTTGCTTCCATGCTAGTTGTTTCAGAATAGGCTTTGATCTAAGTTGAATTGTGAATTATGAGAACTGATTATGGTCGTGATCATCTTCACGATGGATGGCTTACAAGACGGAACTTCTTGGACACCTGAATAACATCAGGTGTTAAAAGAATGCCTTTTGGGTGGTTTTTGGTAGCTGTAATTCCATTTGTGATGACATTACCACATTTCTGTATCAGTAGCTTGGAAGTCAAGGTCATTGCTGCCTCTTATCACAAAATCAAGTGAATGATATTTAAGTTATAATGAAGATAGATTTTACTACTATATTGAACAGTTTTTGTTTTGTTTTTGTGTAGAAGTTTAGTTTGGTTAGGCAATAATGCTGATGTAGAAATTGTAGGGCACGTTGAGGTTCTCGTTCAGTTTCAGAGCTTACACTGAGCTTTGTTTTAGATGATTGAGGATTATTTAATCTCATTACTGATTTATAAATGTAGTTTTGGTGTTAGGCAGTTGGCAGATTCAGTAAATATTGCATGTACTTGTTTTTCTGAGTTAACATTGTGCTTATCTTAAACAGTGAAATTGCCATAATCATCATCATCATGTTTATCATTAATTTAGTTTGTTGATATAATATACGAGGCCTTGAAGTTGTATAATCTGCCGTTATTCAAGTTCTCGAAAGACTGCTGCAAAGAAGAAAGGATAACATTGAAATGAATTGTAGATAAATGGGTTGTCGCAATGTGAAATGAATTGCCTCGTGGAAAGGTTTGTTAAAAGAGGCGTTGATGCTTTGTGTTTTAATATGATAGTAAAGTCATTTGTTTAGTTAATTAGTTGCTTACATAACTAGATATTGTATATACAAATAGTTTGATAATGGTACAGTGTAAATAATGTACAATGTGGCTGGCAATTCATTTTGTTTAGGTTTATGATGAAACAAGTACATGTAATTTTACTGTTAATACTTATTTTTGTTATTAACACATTTGAGGTGATATTGTTTAAGCCACTGCATTTCAGTGCCTGCATGTCTGACAGTGGTGAGTGAACTTGTTGATGAAAGACGGGCTGTGTGTGATGAATGTGTTGCTTCTTGCAGCATGTAAAGAGGATGAGTTTACATGTGCAAACAAGTACTGCATCCCGAAGAGCAACCGGTGTGACGGTTTTAACAACTGTCAAGATGGCAGTGACGAGCAGAACTGCCGTACGCATCCATATTTGAATATATTATGTAACATACTAACGCCCATTATCGGAAGGGGAATTTTTTTTGCATGTTTATTCATTCATGCCCAACTGCTTTGTGATCTAACCCAGGAATCCACCCACTTTAATGAGAATGTTCAACTTCCTTGAATGTAAAACATTAGATCTGCTGAATGTAACTGTACATATTTAGTTAGCATCTTGCTTAATATTAGCGTTGCATGTTTTTTTTATGGCTGCCACCGCTGAAATTTGGGTATGAATGGGCAGTAGTGCATTGACATACTAACCAGGAATGTGTTTTGTTCAAGATTATTTGTATGTAGTTTGAATCGTAACTCATGTACTTTCTTGCCTTTGTCTCTAGAGTACAACCACGTAGCTTGAATATAAAATTTAGTGTTTCTTGTTGGTACATATAAGGTCTGTGGCATGTTACAGTGTTCCACTTGTTGACTTATGCACATAAAATGAAGGAATTCTAATGAAAGTACGTTATAATGCTGGAATCGACATCTTTGCCACTGCGAGGGCCTCAAATCTCGTTCCATCACAGGTTTGATTTACGGATGGTGAGGATAAATTTATCCCCGTGGAACTATTTGTATGATGTTTCTTGCTTGTGGTGCAGGAGACACTGAAGTTTGTCGAACAAATTTTGAATTAGATCGAGTGTTGCCAGCTTATGATAAAATTTCTGATGTGTTCTTAGCTTAGCTGTGTCTGTAATAAATGAATATCCATGTGCAATTTGGCGATTAGTATCAAACTTGTATTCTTTGCATATGCTGGTGATAATAGTTTCCCCATACTGTATATTGAATATTCATTTATAAACATTTTCCTGTAAGTTTGGAATGGAGGTGTGAAAATTCAGAACATATTATATTTATGATGAACATATCTCTTATAAGTCTTACCCACCCGGAAAGGCAAATGAATTCATTTTTTGGCTGCAGAACACAGCAAAACATACATGGCTTTTTATGAATGGTTATTAAATACCGTAGTATATGTCAGGACTCTGTCATAGCTGACAATACTAAGTGCTTGTCATCTCAGATTCAATCTCGGGTGACTTCAAGTGACATTTATGGTTGACAAAATGGTGCTGGAACAGTTATTTTTTTGACAAGTTCTTCCTTGTTTCTCTGCTAATCACTATTCCAACATTGCTGTGTATTCATCTGTCACTGCCCTGCAAGGTATGCAATACCTCTGAAAAAGCAACACCAGTTATCATGTCCTCGATCCTAAGTTGGAGGCTTGATCTCTAATCTGGTACTAGACTGGGCTTGGGAGTAAAGTAGTTCAAGTTTTTATGTATTATAATTCATAGAATTAGATGTTTCCAAGTCTTGTTTCATCTGTAAACTTGTAGGATTGTTTGTGATATTATGGGTTAATTTTTTTACACTACTGTATTTAATCATGAACTTAATTCTAATATTTTATTATTTCATATTAACTGTACATTAATTTTCTGCTTTCCTTGGGCTTGATTGGAGTATGTAGTAGTGGAAAGGCTGTCTGATGTAATTTAATTATGTTGTAATTTTGAAACATGGCTCTATAATTTTCAGTCTTACAAAATAAATATTTGAAAGTGTGCCAAGTTCACATTGGCAGTTAAGTGAAGTACTGGTAATTCTTATCAATGGATAAAATTGTTTTGTTATTTTTGTGTATAATATAGCATCTTTGTTTATGAAAATTATGTTAATTTTTATTAAATAGAACATTTTTATTTTCAAATAATTTTAAAGTGGTAGTTTTTGGCTTGCAGACAGACTAGGCTTCCTGATCCAATTCCCATGTTTTGTGGTAACGTTATTTGGGATATGTAGTCATCTGAGGTGATTCGTTGAATTTGTGAAATATTTCAGAGGAGTGCGAACACAACGAGTTTCAGTGTCGTGATAAGACTTGCATCAGTGTAGCCAAGAGATGTGATCGTCAACATGACTGCCCAGATGGCTCAGATGAATTGAACTGTGGGGGTAAGATTCAGATTTACTATTTGGAAGGTCTGCATCAGTCATTCCAGCTGATTACTGAACTAAAACCTTTAAGAAGTGTTTTTGAAACTGCGGATCCCAACTTTCGTAGTCAGTAGGCTCCAGAGTTTTGAGAGTAAAGGGAAGGTTAAATCATCATCATCATCATCTTCTTCTGGGATTTTATTGTATTAAGTTCTTTACATCTTACATAAGACTGTAATCCATTATTGTGAAATTTATGTCTGTTATTATTTCTTCATTTCTTTATGGTCAATAAATATGCACCTTGCTTGTCTTCCTATGACTCTGTTATCATGAGTTCCCATAATCTATGCTTTTCTGCCATTTATTAATGTCAGTCTAGCAAGTATATCCCTTCTGTGATGCTTCACATGTATTTGATCAGTCCAGGTTTGTTGTATATTTGTGTTTTAAACTGTAGGAAATGTTGATAAATGCTTGGTAGCCATAAGGTAGCAAGTCAGTGGTTGTGGTAGCCTTGTTACATCATTTACTGGATTTCTTCCAGTGAGTTGTAATGTTTTCTGTGCCATAATTTGGCCTACAATGTTTTGCATGAAATGGTGTACTGTGAGAATGATGTTTGAGTGATTACACTTCAGAATTAAATAAGGACTTTGTGTTACAGACTTGTGCTGTATTTTTAAATTGAAGGTTGCTGATGTCTAGTGGATGCGTCTTCGAGGTGTTGGTATTTCTGTGTATAGCCTGCGTTGACATTTAAAATGTTGTCGGCTTTCAGTTTCCCCAGTGTTTGAATGACTTTAACAGTGAGAGTGAAATCTATGAAAAAGTTTCATAAGTATCCAGACTTAGTAGATTCAGAATTCGATACAAATGATCCTTATTCAGATATAAATATTTTTTGTGCACATAGATAATTGTGTTCATTTTCAAAACATAAAATTAAAAAAAAAACCTCCACTGAGATTTGTTCTTGTTTTCTCTGCCAGCCATCATCTCATTGGAAATAGTGAGTTCTGACTTTACCAATGGTCCCACTTGAGTTATGAAATCTGAAGTCTGAAAAAACATAAAATCTGAGTCAAAAACGTTTTAAGTGTCCTTTGTTAAAATCTGAGTTCCAGTGTATCTCTCAATACATGTGGGTGTAAGTACTTTTTTCCTTTTGGTCTCTGTGGGCTCTTGTGACATGGTAATGAACCTTCAGGTTCCATAATATATGTGGAATTTGACTAGTAGCTGTGTGACTGTCAGGTTTTCAAGGACTCTTCTGTAGTAAGTTCGTTACATTGGTCTGTGAAGAAATATTCTTGACTAGTCGACGTACTGTCTGCTTCTCAAGGAGTCTGTTCAAACTAGTTTGTTATGTTTTGGTTTGTGACTGACCCCTTGTTTAAAAGGGAAGTTTCTTTCATGTGTATTTCTGAAATATGCTTTGGCTGGTACAAATTCAATTATTTCTGTTTTAGTTTTTCTTCAATAGACCAATTAAAACATGTTTTTAGTACTTTTCAGGCAAGAGATTAGTTTCTTGTGAAATTTTAAGCCTTAACTATTACCATATATGCAACAATTTTTTTCAGGCTGGATAATTTTTTTTTAGTTTTCTTTTTTATTTTCAACGTTTGATATGTGAAATGGGGAAAATAAATTCATAGGATTTCTACAGGACTTTCATATCTTTCTCTTCACTTCATACATGTATTAAATGTTGGACCATAATCTAAGGAGGGTAGTGAAGGGTGGGCAGAGAAATTTAAATTTATCGAGTGTTCAGTAGTTTACATGAAGAATAGTTCAGTGCACTCACAGGAAAATGTCAGGACTTAAAAAATTATTGAAGGGTTTTCATTTATTTATGCTATTTGAATGTAATACATATATAAAAATTCTGCCGTGATATCCTTAATTCAGACTGATTCTCTTATGAGTTGAGTAAGCTGTATTAAATGTTCTAATGTCTAGTAGTAGATATGTTTAATTATGCGAATGTATTTTCTGGGACTCCAAAACCTTTATTTTAAAATGTTTTGACTCTTCTGTGATTACCTTATGTTCTCTGTACTATAAGAACATAAAAATAATTTTAATCCATGTTATTAACAGTCCATCGCATTATCGGACGCCACATCAAATTTCTTCATGGGCGTTGTGGGCTGGGTTATAGTTCGTCCATCTCTGTTATAAACATTGCATTGAACCACTGTATATAGTTCTGTTCCTGAAATAAAGGATGTATAGTTGTGTGTTTTATCATACAAATATTTTAAATACAATTTTTCTTGTACGTAGAAGGGACTTCCTTCATAGTCTTATATTCAAATGCACTTTTCCCTGTAAGTATAGGTTTGGGCATCACAATTTTCCTTTTATGTAAAGGTGATTTTAAGAGTATGTCTGTTCTCTAGCAATAACGGGTTGCCGAGAAGACCAATTCCGTTGCAATGATGGGGTGTGCCTCAACATTAACCAGAGGTGCAACTTTATTCAGGAGTGTGTGACTGGAGAAGATGAGAAGGGATGTAGTAAGTGTTCACGAAAGGCCTCGTAGTATGAATTCAGTGCAAACAAGATGGTTCTATTATGTATGCTATATATATATTTTTTTTAACATAATAAATTGTGTTGCCCAATCCCGATAAATATAGCCAAGCCTCTGAAACACAGAGACTTGGCAGTTAATTTTGGGTCAGTGTGGTGTAAGATAATGGTTTTGAAGCTTGGTTTCTCACTTTTAAGAAATAATATACAGTGCTTACGCTGACAGTTGAATGAAACTGTCATTTCCTCTATCCTGAATGGAACTACATGACTCACTGCCAAGTGCTACAAAGTTTCCCCAATACAGATTAAGTATTGCTCCATGAAAGCAATAAAATAAATTTTCTGTTGAAAGCTGTTCATACTGGGAGCTGGGAAGTGACTGTTGCATTCAAATTTATTAATGAACACGCTCTAGATCAAGTGCATTTGAAAACAATGTGCTAAGGAGAAAGAAGGAACACGTGAATGGTTAAAATTGCATGATGAGTTGCACAGTTTATGTGCTTCTTAAAGTAATATTAGTGGGATTACATAAACTATTCTGAGATGTTAAGGGCATGTAGCATGCATGGATGATACAAGAATTTTGGTTGCAAAATATCAAGGGCAGATAATACTTGGAAGGTGTAATTGAGGATAATATTATGGAGTATATTGTGATGATGCAGTGTGTTGATCTCTTTTGACCATAGTGATAAACCTTCGGGTATGATAAAATTGGGAACATTAACTGCTCAAATGTTTAAAGCTGGGTCCACATTTGCGCATTCTGTCGCAATGTAACGGTGTAAAGCGATAAGGGGTACCGAAGTTCACGTGTGGACAAGATGGCATGCATTTTGGTGATTGTCCACACGCTTTCCAGTGGCATAGCATAACATTCTTTCACTTTTACTGAAAGATTGATAGCGGCATGCATCTGATGCACCGCAAACTAAATGGGGAATGGGAGCGATTGTTACAGCAACAGTATCCACATAAGCACATTTGCTGTTACATTAGACTGTTATGGCAGAATGTGCAAGTATGGTTGCTGCTTAAGGAAGACTTTGTATATTGGATTCGTTTAGTTGATAATTTTCATGGGGTGTGTTTGTTATTTGAGTCGCAGTTGGTTGACAATGTAGGTGATACATAATGTTTATTGATCTGGGTCTTGGGACTGTAGAATTGTAAGTAGTTGAAGATTTCTGTGTTCTGGGTTGTTGCGCTGTGTATTCTGGTCGATGTTAACGAAAGTTTCATACTGTCCCCGTCATCAGGGCGATGAATATGATGAAGGAGGCAGTATGACCTCTGAAACGTTGGTTAACATCGACCAGACTACACAGCGCCACAACCCAGAAGATATAAATCTTCATATTCACCGCTGTGAAAACCTCAAACCTTACATTGTAAATAGTTGCCAACATTTTGGAGAAATGTACTGTCTCCAGCTCATCTTTGAAGATGCAGATGGTGTGTTTCTCTGAAACATTGGCATATGACTATTACTCTAAAAACCCTGAAGTATAGTAACATCGTACTCACTGCCTCATATCTTATATAGCCACTATATAATTAAGTAATAGATTTTTTCTTGATATATTTAATTTCTTTACAGCCCGCTGCACCCCATCTCAGTTTCACTGTAAAGATGGAAGCTGTGTGGATCTCTCTGCCCATTGTAATGGTCACAGAGACTGCGGTGATGGAAGTGACGAGGAGGATTGTGGTATGAATTCAAAACTTACTAATTTACTTAATTGGAAATATGCTAACTTACTCACAGGCTATAGCATGGCCAGGCATAATTACAACAGATCTTTAAACAGTCATTACAAGACTTATTCCAGCTTATTTTGCCGTTAGGTATGTCTGCATGGCTTCTGTTATGAATTTTACCGTAGCAAATGAATGACAAGTATTGAAATGTTTTCTATCTAAGTAAGACGCTGCTAGCTGATGATAATTGTGACACATTTGCACCACACAGACGTTACCTCAGAACTGATCTAGCTGAATGTTTCGACTGTTTCAAAGGTACTGTGTAGCCATGTATTTTTCATGCTTTTACTGTAGTTGCTAATGTTTGAGTTCTGTTTAGTTTATTAACTAGTGGTTTGTAATAAAAGAAATTACTTAATAGTTTAGTTTATGTTAACAGGGCAGTGATTATGGAGGTCTCTAAAATTAAAAATGAATTAAATTTAATTTGAGAGACATTTAAAAGTAGGCACTTTTAAAAAAATGTGTGAAGGGGATTAAGTGAAATTTGTAAAATGTTTTGTACAAATTAATAACAAAATTTATAACATTTAAATCAATTCATCAGTTGTGAATACCTAATACTGTTTAAACCACAAGCATACAAAGGAACAAACTTCAAAATTTGCTGTGTACCACACACTCTGACTTTACGGACTCACTGTTTGAAGTACTATGGCAGCAGTGGATTTATGGTTAGGTTCTAAGAAGAGGAAGTTAGTCTGCCGACCTCAGATATCAAAGCCATTGGTCTCGTGATACATTAAATTACATGTGCCTGTCCATGTGTGTGTGTAGTTCTGTCTGTCTGTCAGTCAGTTTTTCCAATGGTTGTAGACTATTTGCATGATTTGGGGTCATTGCTGTGCAACAGTGTTAGACCTTGGTTATAATTATTGAAATATATTAACACAACAGTGGTAAAAAAAATTATTTTTGGAATGCATTGTTGCACGAAAATGAACATAGATTGCAGTACAAAAACGACTATTAGGAGCAGAAATTACCTTGGATTACATATGTGTAAGAATCGTACAATGTACGTAAATTACCTTATATAACATGAGCATGACAGTGACCTTGTTGATGTGATGAATACCTTTTTAATATCAGTGTGATCCAAAGAGTATACCTTTCCTTTCTTATATTTGAATAGGGCTACTAGAAGAACTGTAAGATTTATATTTCTAGATGATAGATTTTTGTACAATAATTTTACAAGTATAAAAATTTTGTACCTGAAATTAATCTTATCAGCCATTCATACTATTGAAAGTTGTTTTTGTTGTAAGTTGTAACAGTTACATATTGCCGAAGAGTGTCTGTAATAGCGAGAATTCAGTTTTAACATACCAGACCTTAGTGCATGATGTTAAATATGACCTGTTGTATTATTACAGCATAAGAAAGCATTACTCTCTTATAACCTACTGTAACACTACTTCTCAATAGTCTTGGTACGAGCATGCAATTGTGCATGGTTGGCTTCTTATTTTAATACTCTGATGGGTAATTGCTGCTGGCGAGTACACAAATATCAAGGTGGACGCATGCTCGTTCTATTTATGGAGATGATTTGCCAGTGGTGCTGTCAGCATGGATTAACCTGCATAGATTTTGGGTTTCGTTGTGATGGACATCTCACCTGCAGGGATCGCTGTCATGAGGTGACCTGTTCAGGTATTAATAACGGAAGCCTTCTGAAGAGCACTTCCTAAAATTACAATGAAATGCAGTGAAATCCCCAAAATTTGACAGGTAACTAATTCTAATTAAAAGGTATTGCACGCCTTTTCACTCTTATGTAAGTTTCTGATAATAGTGTTTAGAGACTCACCACTTGTAATGTTTTAGACTATCATGCCATCACATACATGCATACACACATTTATATATACATATGTACAGACCAAACATTGCATCTTGGTGCTTGTCATTCCTGCACCGTATCTGGGAGATCTCTGGTTTAAATATTGGCCTGGAGACTGGTTATCGTGACTGAAGTTTTTTGTGGTTTTTCTCAGTCCTTCCAGCCAGATGCAAGGGTAGTACCTTGAGTTTGGCCTCAGTCACGTTTTCCTTTCATATTCTTTCAAAGTCATTAGCCATTAACATTCTGGTGCTGTATAGTACGAGCTACTGAAAGTGTTGTCAATTAAAAAACACATAACAAATACCATCACGCACACACATACACACACCAAGTTTTCCCACTGGTTGTTTTTATATTTTTTATAGCAAATTTATAATTTGTTATCACTTCTCTCTAATTTCAAACTTCACCTGGATCATTAAGCACAATGTATCCAATTACAAGACTCATAATATGGAATCGTTTTTATGGTCAAGCATTGTTTGCCATGCTGCATTATTCATTTCACTATTTGTGAAAAAGAATGTTCGGTAAACAAGAGTTAAATCAATACACATTTAAAAGGGGATTTCACTGTATTTTGTAAATTATATGGAGGTTAGGTAATAAATGTAATTTATTTGTACGAGTTTCAAAATGTTTCTCTTGTGCTTCTGTCTGTGCGTGCGCACATTCCTGCAATGTGGTAAACTCTCTTACATGAACCTTATTCTACTAAATTTCTTTTACATGGATATCCTTCTATTCTGAACAAATACTAAATGTTTTCGTCTCTTGTTTTCATGTTTTTTCAGCAGTATGACTAAGAAGGAGGAAACTGTTTCCAGAATTAATTCAGTCGCATACTGACTACAGACTCTGTTTTGTATAGGGGACCTTTAATGGTTCATTTTTTTCACAAAATATGTAACATTTAAGTTGAATTGAAAATATAAAGTTGATGGCAAAACTAATCAATATGAATCTGGATTACTGATTTTTTGTACTTATCCATCATATGATTTTCTAAACTATGCACGTTTAAAAAACTGAAATTCTCTTTGCCCT